AAACTGAAGCTGTGAACAATCTCAATCTCTTCACCATCCATCCTGATGCTACCAATTGGTCCAGTGGTGAGAATCTTTGTCTTCTTGACATTGAGCCTCCGTCCATACTGAAGGCTGCAGTCCTTGACCCTCTGCAGCAAGTGCATGAGGTCCTCCTCATTTTCAGCAAGCAGGGTTGTGTCATCTGCATAATGCAGATTGTTAATAGATCTTTCACCAATCCTGATGCCACACTTCTCCTTATAGAGCCCAGCCTCTCAGAAATATGCTCTGCATAACTTTATATTTCATTTAATAAGCACTGGTTAAACTCTCACTGCATCCTCCATTAAAATAACCTGGGCATTTCAGGGGTCACCAAAAGTGACATGAATGAACCAAGGCACACCAGGTGCCATTAGTCCATTTCATAGGAAGCCCAAATGGTTGTAAAAGAGCAAAGAGCTAGAGTAACAGTACACAGGAGGGTGTTCCAAGTAGAGAAGACAGCCTATGGGAAGGCTCTGGATTAAGAGCCGAGAGCCTGGGAAAGTGAACGTGTACAGTACGCCTGAAGCACTGTGGTCAAGGACAAAAGTGGCACTTGTCAAGGCTGAGAAGGGGCCAGAGTTCTTATCTGGTAAAAGTTTCTCCCTTTTTAAGTACCCAAATTTTCCTAAAAGAATTAGTCTTCCCCACACATATACTAAAAGCAATATGAAATGGGCCAAATTCACAAATCAGATTAGAAATTCCATAAATCTTGTGTTTCTTCTTCCACGACTCTCTTTCAACTCTCTACCACCCTCTCTCCTCTGGCACTTATTCTGTTCATTTTTCATTAAATAACTGATCTGAGTCTAAAAACTGTCCTCACTGTTGTAATCTAGAAAATGAGTGCTAGAAAAGCTATTCTTGGGTTCTGACTTGACAGCACAAAGCAACAAAAATGGTTTGGAAAATAAAGAACCACTCCCAATAATAAAAAAAAAAAAGCTATTCTTCATGGTTAATGTGACAATGGTAACAAAAAGTGGGTCACATATCAGTAATACAGAGGTTTACAACTAAGGACAGTGAGTGGTCCTCTCACCACCATGACCCAGAGGAGATCTGCCAATGTCTAAAGACATCTGTGGTTGTCACAATGAGGGAAGAAGGAGTGGATGTTACTACCTGATATCAATAAGTGATGCAAGAGATGTTTCTAAATCCCCTACAATGCACAGACCATTTTCCCACAACAAAAAAATTATCTAGACCAAAACATTGATATGAGAAGTCTTGTTCTAATCAAATTCATCTTGAAAGCTTTTTTATTTGTGAATTATACTAATCTTAGTACATTTAAAAGAACAAGTTAATGCACCTTCTCTATTAGTTCTCAAAACTGCACAGGTTGGCAGCAAATAAAGGAAGTAGGTGGAGAAGTTAGAGAGAAAAAAGGATGGAGAACCAGAAGACTGATGTGGCAATCTTGGGGCATCATTTAGGAAAGACAAAGTACAATAAGGGTTTGTTGAGACATGGTAGTTAATTACATGCATAGTCAATTATAATTGATGTTATAAAACTAACTGTATATGAATGATTTGTGAACTTACACTTAATTTTTTTAAAAATGGAAAGATTAAAAATAAGTCAATATTTAATTAGGGGGGAAAGAAAAAACAAAGTCACTGTTTATTAAAGCAAAGGCAACTAAAATATGTTAGCCCAGTTACTCTAGAGTCATCACTCTGAAACATAAAACTTGCAAAATACTAATTATATTTCCATTACTTAGTTTTAAAATAGGGATCTCTGGTGGCCTAGTGGCAAGAAGCTGAGCTGCTATCTGGGAGGTAAGCAGTTCGAGGCCTCTAGCTACTCTGCAGGAGAAGGATGGGCAATCTCTTCCCAGGAGATTAACTGCCTCTGAAAACCCACCAGAGGGTTGGCTATGGGTTGTTTCCAACTCAACAGTACCCAACAACAACAACAACAGTTTTAAAATATATGATGCATGCAATATACATTTATTAATTTTTTAATCCATTTAATAAATTTTATATTAAAATGCCAAAACATTATATTACAGAAAAGGGAATGATTGAAACTTGAATATGTCATAGTGAGGTTTGTCTTACTATATCCTGAAGTAAATTTAAAATTACTTAGATTATCTTGATGTTCATATTTTATTCCTTTTTTTGGTATTTTATTCATTTTTTCTGTGTTGCTGAATAGATAGCTTTGTACATATCTCTTCATTTGAAGTATTTAAATCAGATTAGCATTATTTTTTGTAAAAGAATGATACTCACATTCACTTGCACTTCAATGGACCAGTCACCAAGTATTGGATGGGAAGATAACTGAAAAGTTTTGGAAACAACTCCGAGATTATTCTGTTCTGACAGCCACTGTTGGACCAAATTTGATTTGGGGTCCTGAAATGAAAACCATGTACATTAATGATATAAATGTTGCCCGTGAGCATACCTATCCTATTCTGTTATTAATGGTTGATAACTTAAACACTTCTGGGTACCTCTAGAACTTTACCCAAAATATGACACAAAGATCATTTTTTAGAAATGTTGACATTATACTACCGAAGAAGAGAAATTCTAATTTTCTCATATTCCACTCCACCTTACAATTCATAGTATCCTATTTCCTAATGAATGAAACATTACAACATGTATATCCCTAAACTTGTGCTGTTTTGAGACTCCACTACAATGATAACAAAGCAAGCAAACAAAAATCCACTGCCATCGAGTAGATTGCAACTCTTAGCAACCCTCCAAAAAGTTCCATGGGTATTAAATCTATATGAGAGACAACTGCCCAACTTTTCCCCACAGAGCAGTGAATAGATCAAACTACTGGTCTTTTGGTTTTGATACACGTTATAACCTAGGAAAGTTCCTTTCTGCCTAATATTGTAGTAATATTATGTGATCAAGCTCAGGATTCAAATCTATGGAAAAGATCCTCACCATTCTCCTACAAAGCAGCAAGTGGATTTGAACCACTGACCTTGTCACTACCAGCCCAACACCTAACACACCACACCACCAGGGCTCCATGATAACAGGAAAACAGGCTCTGTTTGTTTACTAATGGCTACTATGTGTCAGGAACTTTGCATTATCCTTAGAGTAAGGATTACAATTCTCCTTAAAGGTAGGTTTATTCTCCTCTAAGAGGTGGGAAAACTGAGACCTGGAGAGTCAGGTAAATACTCAGTAACTCTAAGTGACATTGTCCAATATTATCCAGTTACTGTTTTGTGACAGCCCTGTTCTGAACTCAGCCCTATCCTGAGCCAGTCTGTCTCTGACACATCAAATTCCATTACCCCAGTTATTATGTCAGTCCATCTCATCCAGGGTCTTCCTCTCCTGCACTGTCCCTCCACCCTTCTAAGGATGATGTCCTTCTCCAAGGACCGGTCCCTTCTGGATACATGCCCAAAGTATGAGACAGAGTCTCAAAATCCTTGCCTCAGGAGTATCCTGGGTTCACCCTCTCAGGATAGATCTGTTTGTTCTCCTCTAGGTCCATGGTATGTTCAAAACTCTTCTCCGGCACCACAACTCAAAGGCATCAATGTCTCTTCTGTCATCCCAGCTCTCTGATGCACACCATGTAACTGGTAAAGACCATGGCCTAAAGCGGAAACACTTTAGTCTCCAGACTGACACAGTTCCTCTTTAGCACTTTGGGTAGGTCCCTGAGAGCAGATTTCCCCAGTGCAATTCATTCTTTTATTTCTTGACTGCTGGTGCCAGGAGTGTTGATTGTGGATCCCAGCAAGCTGAGACTGTTAACAACCTTAATCTCTTCTCCATCTATATCATGGCTCTGTCAATATTAATCTGAGCCATCAAATCAATTCTGACCTGGTGACCCTTCAACAGGATTCTGAGACGGTAAATCTTTATGAGAGGAGATTGCCCATCATTCTCCCAAAAAGCAGATGATAGATTCAAACCATTGACCTTTTGTTTAATGGTCCTACTTATTACACATCACGTCAGCTTAGTTCCTTTTTTCCTTGTATTATGGCAATAATGATCAAATTCCGGATGCAAACCTACATCTGGATTTTAATTCAATAAAAATATATCTGAAAAAAATATTTTATCAAAGTGTCACAAAAAATATTTCCATCTTTTTAGAGTCTCCAAACAGTTATCCTACCATGGAACAACCATCTAAGTCAAATCCACAGTCACCCCACACTTCTTTCTCACAGTCCAACTCAGTCAACTTTCTCTTTAATATCTCTCAGTTTGTCTCCTTATTTGCATCTTCATAGCCAATACCTCCTTTTTTTCTTAATGAAAATAAGCTTTATTACCGCAAGTAATAAATACATACAACACTGTGCATCATTTTCTTACCCTCATGGTGTGTGAACAACAGTAACACACAACTGAGATCGCCAAGACCATCTCTGTGTGAATTTTTTTTTTGTGGGGTGGGTGGGCTTTGATGCATTTAGTCAGATGTTCTTTGTAGTTATAACGTGTGTGTGTGTGTAAACTTTAAAGCACTCTAAATCATGCAAATCTTTAAGCAAGAGTTTTGTTGAGCAGAATCTATGTATGCTGGATGGCCACCTGAGGGGTCAGATACTAAGAAGGGGCACTGTCAGTATTCATGGAAAAAACCAAGATCTTGAAGGTTGCTATTAGCTTATGGGGCAGAGGGGGGAGCACAAGGACAGTCTCAATGACATTACTGTCAGCGAGAGAGAAGAGGAAGATGAAACACAGAATCTACAGTTTGCCACAAAACTGGTAACTTTCCTCACTGTAAATCAAGACTTGAGAAAGGAGAACAAAACCTGAGTAATGCCTATTTACTGAAAAGGCAGATCCTACCCAAACGCAAACTCTCCCACCTTTAGGGACAGGAGGTTCAAAGCCCATGAACAAGAGAAGGGAAATGGGAAAAAAAAAATAAAAAGGGATCACTTTGAAAACAAAGAAAATAGGGGAGATGAGTGAGCATTTCTCATCCTGGGAAGAGATGGACAATCCCAAAGCCCGGTGAGGCAATAGGATCTGCCTTTGCATTCAGTCTCGGCCAAGCACTCCCAGACCAAACCCCTGGCATGATGATGCCTCGCTTCAGCTGCTCCGTGGCGCTTTTTCTCCCCAGGGTTGGTGGGCCTGATCTCCTTGCCCAGCTCCTCAATGATGACCAGCAGCTCCGCATACTTGCTCTGTGGCACCTGGCTGTTGTTCCCAGTGCCTTGTGTTTACCCGAGGGATGGTGGCCCATAGTCACTCAGCTGTTGGTAGTAACTGGGAGGATGTGGCCATGCTGGTGAAAGGATAGTGGACACTTCCACCTGCGCTGAGAGTGGCGGAGGGCTTGTGCCTACCTCCTCTTTTTTTAACTATGGCAACTAATCACCTTCCTCCCTCTGCCAACAGTGTTATCCATCTAAAACACAAATCTGAGGATGAGGTAATGTAGCTGAAATACTTGGCTCAGTATCTGTTCCATAACAAGCTGTTAACAACACTGATTATAATAATTACAGGCAGCACTTGTGGAATAGTGTTTAACATATCAGACTGCTAACCAAAAGTTCGGCAGTTCAAAATCCTAGGAGTCTGCCAGTTGTGGTGTGCTTATTCTTGAGCCTATGATGATTTCCAAGGGAGAAAGGTAGGCAGTCCCCTTCCATGAAGATTCACAGCCTCAGAAATCTGATGGAGGGTCACCATGAACTGACAGCCGTGGGTGTGGTTTTAGGGATATGAACATTACAGTAGGCTACCTACTACCATAAGTCCTGCTACCCCAAGTCTTGTTACTCAGTGTAGGAAGCACGCTCTTATCCTAGTCCCACAGGTGTTGATAATTTGCAAGATCATGTTTCTACAGTTAAGGCTGGTGAAGACTAGAGGGGGCTTAACAAAATGGCTAAAAAAACCAACTTACTTATAGGCTAACACTGCAAAAAGATAAAAAAGAAAATAAATAATTCCCAGTGTTACTGTCATGTTAACCTAAAAGTTGGCCTTTGTTTAGCCATTAGTTAGCTGCTCTGGTCTCTAGCTAACTTAACTGCAGACTTATGGTGGTCTTGCAAATCAGCACAGTCTCACTAATGATCAACAGCTGAAGCAGCTGAGGTTCTTCTCTTTCAACTCGCTGACTCTCTGCTTCTCTCTTCTGTTCTACTTTTTTGTCCTTCAAGCATGTTAGACACTTCTACCATTTCAGTCTTAATATTCTGGATTGCACTTTGATGCATTTCTGTTATTTCCAGTACCATGTTGGCTCTGTGTCTCTGAAGTGTTTGCTTTCTTAGTGGTTTTCATTGTTTCTTCCATCATTTGCAGTCTTTTTACCATGTTCAAATAACTCTTCATCAACATATATTTTCTGGTTTTCTACCCCTTTTATTCCCTTTATTTGTGGCTTCCATTGTTTCTTCCATCATTTGTAAGAATGATTTAATGGAAAACAATGTGAATGAAGAATACTGTGAAACACAATGTATATAAACTTCGTAAGCAAACCAATTTTTTAAAAATGTAAAATAGAATGCATATGAATGATTATATGAAACGCAATGTATATGAATGAAATATAATATTAAGGATTTATTATATGAAAACCAATTTTAAAAACTGAATTTATTTTTTTTTAACCAGCTGAAACAACACTATAAAGAGTACTTCTCACACTGGGCAAGAAAGACTTGAAGCAAGACTCGGGGTGAGCAAGGCTTATGGTGGCAAGACCCTGGTGAGAGCCTGGTGGTGGAGAGACTGTGGCAATGCTGTGGAGAAATGGTGGCAAGGTGTGACCTGAGGCTCCTTGCATTTGTGCTGGCCACAGTTAATGTATATTGCTGTTCTTTTCTTTGATGATGGAAGGAAAAGATACTAACTGAACTGAAATTGGCAGCTGGATTAATTGAGAAGTTGTGTCCTGGAAATATTGGGCTAAAATGTGGACTTACTTTGGGTGATATTTCTTGCCTCCCCCACTCTCCAACTTCTTTCCCTAATGAACCCCATTGCTGGTACCATAACTGTGAATCAACAATGAATAAATGAGCTTCTTGTGGCTGGTAGGGCTCTACAGGCACCAGGAGGCTGGGCTACAGGCTCCTGATCTGCTTTCTGCTCTGCAGAGGGGAGGGGCTGTGTTATTCTCACTCTTCTCTGGCCCTTTCAGGAAGATACTCATGGTCCTCTGCAGCTTTGTCCTGTTTCCCCCTTTTGAGACACACAATCCATTGCTGTTGTGTTTTTTTATTATTATGATGATGATGATGATTTTTTAATTTTTTAATTTTTATTATTTTTGTGTGCGTGTACCGTCAAATCAGATCTGACTGATACAGGAGGAGATTGCCCCTCCTTCCCTGGCAGAGCATCTGGTGGATTCGAACTGTGAACCTCTGGGA